AAACGACAAAAAGGATGAACACTATACTAATCAAAACCATAGGTAGGTTGAAAAAAATATTTTTATATTAAAAAATGTAAAATTCATTAGGTTTATCTTTGACAACAATTTAGATCCATTCCGAATTTTATTAAAAATTATTTTGGGCATTTGTTTGTAAGTATCTGTGGACTAGTGTTCACAATTTACATATAGGTATGCGTCTGAAGCACAAATTATAATTATTGAGATATTATCACTGATAATTATAATTTTTATTTCCGATCGAAATATGTGGGTATTATTTCTATCAATATAAATTTCGAAAAATAAGGTGAATATAAATTATAAATCCATATTCACTTACATGTTACATAAGCACTTATAGTTAAATATGTTATATTTGGAATAGAATAAAGATAAAATTCTGTAACTAAGGAGAAATGTAGTATTGAAAAATTAGGAATTGGTTAGAGGGGTGTGCGGGGCAAAGCCCCCTACGAGTCTGCGTTGAGTAATTTTACACTTGGAACGCAGTTTATACATTATTGGATTGAGCTTCTCTACTTAATAATTCTCAATTCGAGTACTGCAGTATTATATAAACCATGTTCATAATATTATTATCTCTACCAACCGAGTAATGAGTAGCTGACTGAGCACAAGTGTTATACCATGTGCCCATATTACCATTGATTATAAAATATACTAGTTTATTCAATGGTATACCTACTCTCAATAAAATAACTCTGTACCCACACTACTAACTTTGATACGCGTAATATTCAACGGCAGAACTCGACGTCACGACACGTTTCAATAACATAAAAACATTAAAAACACATTTCATTATTGTGGATTCACAACTCGTTATTCGGTGACCCAGGACCCAGCACTCAAATAATCAGATCAAGGTGGCCGCGGTACTCAGTGCTCACTGCTACAGTCTACAGATTACAGTAGTGCCTGCACTCGTGCAGTATTCGACGTGTTAAGGTGCGCACACACTGCTGCGGTAGACGGTACGGTAACGATACGGTAATCAATATTTTATTTGTGCGGTAATCTTTACCGTCGGAGCTTGCACACTGATCCGGTAACGATATGAGTTACCGGACTGTAAAATATCGTACCGGAACGTTTTTCGTTACAACCAGCACACACTGCTGCGGTAATGCGGTACGATATATCTGACACACATATAGACATTTTGAGGTTCATACCCTCCCAATTTATTTTCAAAAATATTTTTTTTCCGACAGCTATGTAAAATTAATATGAATATTTTTGTTATAAGCCCTTCCCTTCCCACAAGACGATAATTTCTCTGTAAATGAGCCTATAATACAAGTCTTAATATATGTGTAGGTACCTAATGTCTTAATTTTCTTATTATTAATTGTAAAGAAACTCTAGGTATATCAAAAAATTATAATAAATTAATAATATACGTACTATACGTTGATCAAAATGCTTTTACTTAAAGCTAAATTAAAAAGTAGTTATATAACTGAGTTAAGTTCATATTTTTTCAGGTGTGAACTTTAAACTTAAGAGTGAACTATAATGTTTATTAAATCTTAAATTATATTGCTTTCTAAATGTTGACTTGACTTAACTTAACTAACTAAAGGTAATTTTTGCCCACATTTGCAGAATGGGAGTATAGGAGTATATTTGATAAAAAACTTATTATTATTATTAATTATTATGATATACCTACTGAACTTTTAATACTTAATAATATAATTATATTAGGTACCTTAAGGTAGTACGTATAACATATAGCACTTAATGCCATAATGGTAATATAGTTGTACAACTAAACAGCTAAACAGCTTCATATTATGTATGTCATAATTATTACAAAATAGATAAACATTATTGCTATTAATATTTATCGGCCCGGTAGACGGTAATTATCGTGCATGCAACGTTAAAAAAATATCGGAGCACGATACGATATTTTTTACCGTACCGAGGATTTATCGCAGCAATGTGCGCATCTACATTTAATTACATTCGTTTAGTTTTAAACTTTACCGCACAAAGATTATCGGCGCGATTACCGTTCACCGATCCGATAATATCGTACCAATGTGGTTTGCCTCATATAAAACTATGAGCTCAATTTTATCGCTACCGTTACCGTATCGTTACCGTATCGTCTACCGCAGCAATGTGTGCGAACCTTAACATATTTGATTATATTATAATATTATTTAAAACTATAAAAAATTCTATTCAGTTTAAGATTGAACCACTCACCGACTTAAACACTTTTTGTCCACGCATCCTCACCACAAACCGGACAGAACCTAACCAGACAAGCCGAGAGCATAAAGGTCCGCACACATTGCTGCGGTAGACGGTACGGTAACGATACGGTAACGATAAAATTGAGCTCATAGTTTTATATGAGGCAAACCTCATTGGTACCTACGATATTATCGGATCGGTGAACGGTAGGCGCGCCGATAATCTTTGTGCGGTAAAGTTTAAAACTAAACGAATGTAATTAAATGTAGATGCGCACATTGCTGCGATAAATCCTCGGTACGGTAAAAAATATCGTATCGTGCTCCAATATTTTTTTAACGTTGCATGCACGATAATTACCGTCTACCGGGCCGATAAATATTAATAACAATAATGTTTATCTATTTTGTAATAATTATGACATACATAATATGAAGCTGTTTAGCTGTTTAGTTGTACAACTATATTACCATTATGGCATTAAGTGCTATATGTTATACGTACTACCTTAAGGTACCTAATATAATTATATTATTAAGTATTAAAAGTGCAGTAGGTATATCATAATAATTAATAATAATAATAAGTTTTTTATCAAATATACTCCTATACTCCCATTCTGCAAATGTGGGCAAAAATTACCTTTAGTTAGTTAAGTTAAGTCAAGTCAACATTTAGAAAGCAATATAATTTAAGATTTAATAAACATTATAGTTCACTCTTAAGTTTAAAGTTCACACCTGAAAAAATATGAACTTAACTCAGTTATATAATTACTTTTTAATTTAGCTTTAAGTAAAAGCATTTTGATCAACGTATAGTACGTATATTATTAATTTATTATAATTTTTTGATATACCTAGAGTTTCTTTACAATTAATAATAAGAAAATTAAGACATTAGGTACCTACACATATATTAAGACTTGTATTATAGGCTCATTTACAGAGAAATTATCGTCTTGTGGGAAGGGAAGGGTTTATAACAAAAATATTCATATTAATTTTATATAGCTGTCGGAAAAAAATATTTTTGAAAATAAATTGAGAGGGTATAAACCTCAAAATTTCTTATATGTGTGTTAGATATATCGTACCGCATTACCGCAGCAGTGTGTGCTAGTTGTAACGAAAAACGTTCCGGTACGATATTTTACCGTCCGGTAACTCATATCGTTACCGGATCAGTGTGCAAGCTCCGACGGTAAAGATTACCGCACAAATAAAATATTGATTACCGTATCGTTACCGTACCGTCTACCGCAGCAGTGTGTGCGTACCTTAATATAGGTTTTGGCCGCCACGAAACTATACGTAGTGAGCAGTATTATCACACTGTCACTTGTTTGATTCCACCCTCGCGTTTACCCTTGCGATTATCACACATTTATTTTTGGTGAGAAATCTGTGAAGTTCTTGGGCTATAATATATCTGAATAAGGAACATTATCAGATAAGGAAAGAGGAGCAACCATACAAGAATGCAAACCACCCAAAACCGTCAAAGAACTTTGTCGATTCTTGCGTATGATAAATTTTTAAGGGTGGATTCCTGGAGCAGCTAGAAATCAAGGAATACTAAACAACTATTTGAAACAATCAACAAAGAATGATAGAAGATGACAGAAGGCATTTGCGAAGTACAAAAAAGAACTCGCTGATTCTACCTTACTCACACACCCACGGGGAATACCGTACTTTCATTAACTACTGCAGATGCATCGGATAATGCTCTAAGAGGAGCTGTACTAGAACAGAAGGAAGTGAACAACAACATAGTTTATTTTTCCAAACAATTATTAAAAGCTCAAAAAAATTAGAGTAGGTATACACAGAATTGTTGGCCATTTATACCACAGATATATATAATAATTATTATATATTATTATATTTAATATCTGTGATTCATACAACCCAATACCCATGAATAAAACCATTGTCATTATTGTTATCATGTATAACCGACTCCGTTACTCGGAGGGAAGTAGTGAGGGGGCAATGGTAACATGTTAAATCATACAATGCAAGTGGTATGAGAGAGAAGGCAGTTTCTCACTCCCCCAAGTGGCGATTTTGTTAGGATATGTTCAAATATAAAAATGAAAATAGGTAACATCCATTGCTTTGTTCATAGTTAATATCACGGCCATATAGATCTATATGGAAGTGGTTAATATCTATATTATCTGCATTATCTATGTTTTGTTCTGTGATAAACTGAAAGCATTAAATTCATAGATAATAAAGAATGGATAGGCCATGTTCCCTTATCATACGTTCCCGGACACAATAACATAAAGTGCTTTTTTTTTTTTTATTCCATGAATACACTTTTACACTTTTACTTCCAGTTTTGATTCTAGTATTCCACTTATTTTTAAAAACTGGAATTATCAAAACTATAATAATTAATAACTATAAAATATAATATTAAATTTATAATTATTAGTCAAAATTAAATAAACAATGTTTCTGTGCAATGTACATATTATAATAATATCATAGTAAAAAAAAATAATAAAAAAAATAATACTTATTATAACAATTAAATAGAGGAAATTGCAATGTTAAATTATTAATAATAAGAAAAAGTTATAATAACAACATAATATATAATATCATAATAATAGCATAATAAAAAATAATATAATAATAATCAAATAGAGGCAACTGAAATGTTAAATAATTAATAATAAGAAAAAGTTATAATAAAAACATAGGTACATAATATTAAATAGTTCCAACAAATTAATTATTTTGTCATTATTCATGATTGAAGAGTACCATTTTTGTAAATTTAGCTCTAGAACGGCCTGATTTTATATTTGTGTCATTCACTTTTCGAACTTCATGAAATACACGAATGTCTACATATTTAAAAACAATTAACTTTATAATTTGGTCCTTGTGTGTATCTAAAAATGATTCTTGATCAGGGCAGTTTGAAAAAAGTTCTCTATTATATTTGTACAAATTCTGTTTAATTTTAACCAACAAATATAATTTGTTTTTATTACTGTTGAAATAAGTGGGTGGATAGCTTCGAATTAATCTTTCTGTTTCTTGACAGACTAGTACAACACTTTTACTGGGGAAAATTAAACTACCACGATTTTTTATACTGATTAAAGTGTTTCTGTTATAATTTGAATTATTGGTGATTAATGAAGCTTGACACATAGAACAAGTAATAGATTTTAATATTTTTTTTATTACAAATCCAGCAATATACTGTGAAGTATCCCCAACATATTTTGAAATATTCATATAAGATTCAAAGTAATCATGGTCCAAAAGATGAACCTCTGGTTTACAAGTATCATTAATTTGCTTCTCCTCTACACATGAATTAACTGTTAACATTTTAGTGTTATCCAATATAGAACAGTTGCCAAATTCAGACCCAACTATTTCATTGTGCACTAATATGCGTTTGTATGCAGCTTTAAATTGTTTGCATGTTGGATTGTTGTTGTAGCCTAGTCTACTTCTGATAGCACTGAATGTAGTTTCTATATGATCTTGACTTATTTTATAGGTGATTAAATAATTTATTTTTCCCTTTGATCGTAAATCGCTAAACATTTCGACTGCATTTGTAAGTGACATTATCATACCAACAAAACCAGTATTTCTATTAGAATTGATAATTTTTTTTCCATCAGAAAATTCTAATCCCTTAATGTATATTATAAATTTGTTTATAAAATCTGTATAAAATGGTATTGTTTCATCTGATATTGCTTTGCCATAAGGTTTTGTAGAAAATTTGTTCCTGCTATTAAGAATGTCAAAGGCATTATTAATATATTTTATAAACTCTGACGTTGGTCCTGCTTTAGTAAATTCATCATTATTTTGCGATAGGTAGGTCAATGCATCTGCTACGCTATTACTAAGGGTTTGGGCAGCTAATCTAACATTCATAATTTCATTATGAAAATTAATATGTCGCTTTGTAAGTTTAGTTCCTAGGCGTAACCCTTCTTTTTGCTCAAGTTCATAAAGTTTTTTAACATATTTCCAATTTATTTCTTCCCCTTTAGAATTCTTAATAATATTTCTGTTATTCCAAGCATTTCTTATTAATTTTAACATATGCGCAGGGTCATAAAAACAAAACAATTTATCTTGTTTATCATTAAGTAAATATGGTCTTGGATTTTCTATACTAAAACTTGCTCCTAATTCTGTGCACATTTTTAAATTAACTTTTGCACCATCAAAAGTAACTGAGCATAATGTCACACCAGTTTCACATAAGAGTTCAATAGCCTTCTTTAGCAAATTTGCCCGTTCCTTACCACTTAAACCATCAATCAAGAAATAAGCAATGGGCATTTTCCAGTATCCGTTGATACCGACTACAAGAAATACCAAAGCATTTTTAGCTTCAGGTATATTGTCATTGTCATATGAATATTCAGCGCCCATATTAATATAACCATGTATCTTACGTTGACTATCCATTTCTACGTGTCGTCGTATACACATCTCATCAATTACAAGATTACAACAAATAGAACGGTCTTTAGCCATCTTAGAAATTGATTCAAAAGATTCCATAGTAAATCCTGGATTTCCATCCACTACCATATACCATCTACGCAATGTACGAGGATTAGGAAGTAGATTATTAAAAGTTTTTCTAACATATAAATAAGCTTTTGGTGAGTAATATTGTAATGTAACAGAGAACTGCTTTAGTTCTTTTGAATAACAACATTGTTTACTCCCAGATAATCCATTTTTAACTAATTTCTCCAAGACATCAGACCCTAATGCCTAAAATAAATAAAACAAATTATATGCCAATCAAATATGGTTTGAATATAATAATTATTATTTATTTATTCACAAAATTACTATTCTAATAATAATTACCAGTAATTACATGGTAATAAATAACAATGATAATAATAAATATAATATTAACAAATATTTTAATTAGTAGGAATCAATAAAATATAATTTTAAGGTCAAAACTTGGACTACAATTACAAACACAATATTTGGTTCGGGTTTTTGTTTTTTTGATTCCAATCAACTGTTAATTGTATTATTTAACTATTGAATTACAGAGCAGGGCACTAACTAGTTAGGAACTTAAGTAGTTGATTTTAATACAAAATAAATTTCTAACTTATAACAAACTAAAGTAGACATTTCCTGATCGATAATAAAACAAAAAAAATAGTATATATATACAAATATTAAATAACTATTTAGGTGTTTAAACTTAAGATTTGTTATATTTTTCATAATTAGTTGTAATGTTAAAGTAACTTAACTTTAACTAGTTGAAAAAAATGAATAACTTGCCCAGCTCTGCTTAATGATCACATTAGGATGCCCAGTGAAATTTTGAAAATTGGCACCGGACATCTTAAGAGGACGCTACCCATACATTTGTTATCTCCGTCTTACACACCCACAACATAGCAATTAGTCCTTCACTAGTTTCAATACTAAAGTGAATTGACCTATTATAAAACTTTTATGTAAGAACAGATATGATATTATCTAAAATATTGATAATAGGTCCAATCACTCTAATATCAAAACTAACTGTACACTATTGAAACTATTGAACGAAAATTTGCTATGTCGTACGTGTGTAAGACGGAGGCAACAAATGCGTGGGTAGCATCGTCTTAAGTGTAACTGAATTTAAGGTACCTTTAAATTATCAGCAGCAATTTCGGAAATTAGACTTTTTTTTTTTAACACATTAAGTAATCCATTAAATGAATATACTTTTTGTTGGAGCCTTCTGTTTTTTTGATTTAACAATTTATTTTTGCGTCGTAAACTTGATATTGTAGATTTGATAACATTTAAATGTTTCTTCGCCCTTTTTGGTGTTGAAAAATTCTCAATAGACAAGTCACCAACCCGTGTGCTATTCAAAATTTTTCTTTTTTTGGTTGGTGTTGCAATCACAGAGCAATCAGAAAAACTGGAAAAATATAAAATAATATGACAAGAACTCAAATTTTAAATAATAAATAATACATTTTGTTTACCTTTTGTTGAAAGAAGTGTCCAAAATAGTTATGTTATGTTCTTCTGGATTTTCATTATTTTCAATGAGTTTTTCTACATTTGTGGCACCAGGTGTACAAATCTGATGTACTACTTCGAATTGAGTAGTGCATGAACTTATATTTGCTTCTGGATTTTCATTATTTTCAATGCTATCTGCTACATTTATGGTATCAGGTGAACCAATCTGATGTACTACTTCAAATTGAGTGGTACATGAACTTGGTACAGCAGTAGGCCATAGTTTACGTTTGTAACCATTTATGTTTTTGAAACAATTTATATCAAAATGTTTCGAACATAACTGGTGCCAATTAGACACGGAAGTGAGTCCTAGACTGTCCATCCATTTTTGCCGTAATGTAACATCTCTTGGAAACCTATAATAATATGTATTATCTTAAATAAATAATAGGTAATTATATTAAAGCCCATGATGAATGATATTATGATTTATGATACTTACAAATGGAATGACAGAGTCATGTCACCAGTTTTTGGATTATCATGTGCTTTACACACAACACAACGGTGAACCATAATTATGTTTCAATCAAATACAACCAAAACTAAATAACTAATTAGTATTTAGTCATTAGTAAATAGTAATTACAGATATTTTAAATTTTAAAAATGAAATAGTATACCTTTTTGGAATATTCGAATTGGTCGTTGTGACTTTTGAATTGTTATCATAGATATTAAAGATATTATCACATTGACGATAAAAACTCTTATTAACCACATAAGTAACCACAACAACCATTTGGGTATATAGCACTTTTATGAGACAGAGATATATCTGCTCTCTAGGACCGCGGCACTTTATGTTAAAAGTATAGGAATGGCCTATCCATTCTTTATTATCTATGATTAAATTATTATCTATCTATTGCCTTTTATAACCTCAAAATATTGTAATTAGGTAGTTTTTTTCAGATATTAATTTATTATTGTATAGGTACTTATTATTTAACATATACAATGAATTATCTAGGTACCTTCTACAAGGGTATAAGACAAGCTTGTGTTAAAGCATAGAACATTAATGTTCTATGGTTGAAGGTAGAGAATTACAATTTATTTAAATATAAAATATACAAACTAGATAATGAAATGATATAATAACAACACATTTTAACATAAAATAACCAGTTAATAACAGTAATTTTACATTATTTTATTTAAAGACCATGTTCTTATACAAAATGACCAACTACATTAGGTATTAAATAACAAAATGCCAAAATATAAACAAAACAATATTTATAAATTACATAAAATTTGCAATTTTCCATTTTCAAATACTTAATTAATCACAATTGAAAATTTTAATATCTTAATATTTACCTACTCTTACTGTTTTTTAACATCAGATATATAAGGCTAAGGAATAGCACATTTTGGTTCCTCATTCAGGTGTTCATATTAACAGAATTGGATATTTTTGGAGCTGCATTTAATTTTAATCGATTTGTATTAAGTAAATAACAAGCAGAATCAAAATTATCAGAAAAGATGCTTTTTTGAGAAAGTCTAGATGTATCATTTAAACCAATATTTTGAATCCAAGTATTACTACTAAATTTAAAACAAACATTTTAACTATTAGAAATAAAATAACATAATAATATAACATAATATAACATAATATGGTACAAGAAGACAAGTATAACTAGAACCATTTGCATGCTCCCATGCTTGTTGTTCGATGGTTTTTTTTCCATAATGTGTTTAACACACTGAATTAAAAATGGTTTTAAAAAAAAAATTCAATATTGAGGGTAACACAAAAAAAAACTGGATTTTTTTATTATTTTAAAAAAAGTATTTTTTTTTTAAATTGGTAGTCAGGTTTTCAAAAATCAATTGATTATCAGTTTTTTAAACAAAAAAATAAATATGTTAGTAAAAAAAACTTTGATGACCCATGCGCCGTAAAAAACCTAATAAAAAAAAGTTGTTGCTATTAGTATTTAGGAATAAGGTATACTTCGATTTCCAACCAATAATTTTTAAATTCAAGTGTCTGTTTTAATTCAATGCCTTATTACACATGTTTTGAAAAAAAAAAAACGAGCACTGGAGTTTACCTGCAGTACGACTAATGGTTATACTAATTTAAATATACTTACAGGTTTTCATCTTTAGGAAAATGATGAAAAGTCATCTGGTTTTGTCCTTTCTTCTTTTTGCAAATAACACAATCGTGTTTATATTAGCTTTTATATGTATGTATGTATGTATTGTAGTATTATAAAATAATATGGGTACATAGTTATTTTATTATTATTTTATAGTTATTTATTCTAAGGTAGGTAGTATGCAGTGACCTTATTTTTTTTTAAACATTGGCGGGCTGGTCTCGAGTGGTCCGTTTCGGCCATAAAAGCGTTCTTAACATCATGCCTTATCGCCAAGCTCGCAACATCAATCAGTCCGCCATGAAATAAAAACAATGGAGGAGCGAGTGTCGCTTCTATAATGTTCTATGCTTGTAACAATGTACATAATAATATTATTATACATATCTGTGATTGTATAGGAGTTCCTTATCTATTGTAATATAGAAGTCTGTGGTGTACTGGTGTTCCCTGTTACATCTTAATTCTTATTACTTTCAAATTTTCAAACGCCAATCATAACGACATAAGTACATAACCTGAATAGTTGTTCTTACATCTTACCATAATATTCTATTGATGTACAGACTACAGAGTTACTGTTTTACTAATTTTACTGTATAGTCGCTATTCGCGATATTTACGCCATGTTGGTCATGCGCTCGCAGCGTTTAATCGTTCTGGTTGCTCTGAAAATTAAATAATTATATACTAATATAGTATACAAATTACGTTTATTCAGATTATTGTTTGTTCAACTGTGAATCCAGTTTCGAGTATCGACATTTCAAGTAAGATTTTCTTTCAACTTGACATAGAATTACCTTCTTATGATAATTAACTTCACATTTATATTTATATATCTTGGTTTACCATCAATCTAGTTGTAAAACTCTTACAGTATTAGTAGTTATTGGTGCCCAAAGAACTTACATTAATTTTCAAGTAAATCATTTCCATAATTTGATTAGTTACATGACTTATAAAAAACTATAAGTTTTTAAGTGGCAACTATTATGTAAAGTGACATCAATCTATTTGTAACTACCACCCATGATATAAACAACATGGTTTCATCGCAAAAGTCCAGTTTGGTTTAAGTCCACGCAATATGTCACTTGTTTACCCATAGGTATAAGATTGTTGTTAAATTATTATTACTCCACCAGGTACGTCACATGTCTACAGGAGGATCTGACCGTCGAAAAGCTCCGATTATACCTACCCTGTGGTTTATATCGTGCTATCAACCAACTCGTCAAGGCTCAAAGAGTGGCGGTTATTGGGTTATCCTATACGGTCAAGCTATATTTCCCAAATAATCTATAATTTATATTGGTTCTCAAACATAATTTTAATTTTAAATTTATTATTCATAATCAAATTTATTATTTTACATAGTTACACATTAGCTACTTGTATTACAGTATAGTAATATGTACTAAGTATTGTTTATTTATTTATTTATTTCGAGAGGCGACCCACTGGTAACCTAAATCCATTGCTATCAACCAAGACCTAGTAATTGTTCAATAACTGCCACTGTACTCATAGTAATAATAATTGTAACCAAAATAGTGATTTATTTGTGTATATTAACACCACAAATGATAAATATTTTATATAATCTATATTAATACTAAACATGATATTTATTTATAACTAATTGTTTACAACTTAATATTAATACTAGTGGGGCTACTCATATTAAAATGACACTATAAACAGACATAATAACATTTTTTCAGAATTTAAAATCCAATTATAGCTAAAATACTATAAAATATTATTTCAGTGAATAAAGTCAATAGTAATAGGAGTGATAAATATCAATATATCACAATGTATTAAAGATAATACTAAATTGGAATTTTTGTATTTAATGGCACAATACTAAATAAGGAGAAAATAAATAAACTGTTATGCCATGTATACATCTGTCTTAACAAATGTATGTACAACATAGCAAATTTTTGTTCAACAGTTCCAATTTTGTGCCGATAGCTACAATATTAATATTAATCTTTAAATGCATTTTAAATTGATGTACATATTGTATCTCTATTTAATTACAAATGAAAAAAAAATTTATTTTACCAGATTGAGCTATAAATTTATAATATTACTTTAATCCATTGCTGACTTCTGTTGAACAATAATATTCCTCTATTTTAGCTTCCAAAACAATAGTTAATCTTATATGATTAACGGCGCCCTAGGGTTAGATTACCCCAGGTCTCCAGGGTGTATATTCAGCCGGCGGTTTTCCATTTTTAGGAGTCCA